GATCTGACAGTTCATGGGCTCGAGCCCCACACCAGGCTCTGTGCTGATTGACAGCTGAGAGCCTGGAGCTTGCTTCAGATTGTCTCCCTCTCTCTCTTTGCCCCTCCCCCACTGGTGCTCTCTCTGTCTCTCAAAAAATGAATAAACATTAAAAAAATGTTTTAAAAAGAAAAGACAAGGGGCGCTTGGGTGGCTCAGTCCGTTAAGCGTCTGACTTTGGCTCAGGTCATGATCTCACAGTTTGTGGGTTCAACCCCTGCATCAGGCTCTGTGATGACAGCTCAGAGCCTGGAGCCTGCTTCAGATTCTGTGTCTCCCTCTCTCTCTGACCCTCCCCTGCTCAGGCTCTCTCTCTCTCAGAAATAAATAAAAACATTAAAAATTAAAAAAAAAAAAAGAAAAGAAGAGACAGCTTTATTACTTGAACACTTACTCTTGAAGCCTTTGTCCTCCTCACTGTGAAGAAGCCCACACTGGCTAGTGTGGACACTCTTGGCTGAGCCCTGAGACTATATAGAAACAAGATGTCTGGCCAGCTCCCAGCTGCTTCAGCTCCACCACCATTTTGACTGCAACCTCATGAGAGACCCCCAAACTAGAACTGCCTAGCTGGTCCCTTTCCAAATCCCTAACCCACAAAACCTGTAGAAGCTAACAAATTTATATTATTTCTTAAGCCATTAAGTTTTAGGACAATTTGTAACAGGGAAGTAAGTAACTGGAACAGTGATGATTGGAGGACTGGAAGATTCAGACGATAATCTTAGTGGCTGCAAAAACTAATGGGTTAAAGATTTGATGAGGAATAAGATGTTTATATAGAGTTAAAGTGTTTCTCCATTAAATATTTATTAATTACAAAGTGGAAAGTTTTACAAATCCTGGCAGATATTTCCTTAACAAAGTAATTGAAGCGAACATCACCATAATGGTTGACATTGTTGGTAATAGGATGAAGTTTAACTACTTACTGGCTTGGGGGGTGCGCACTGATTAGTATTTTCTGATTTTTCTAATGTAAAAACTCCCACAATGACCCAGCTGCCTGGCCGACTCTTCAGTGTAATGAGTTTGAGCTCCATGTTGGGCCTAGAATTTACCTAAAAAATATATGTACATATTACAAAAACTCCCACGATGACCAATTTCTGACCACCACTGGTTTAACAACAGGCTGAAATTTTAACAACTGGCTGTTGCTTGTTGGTAGAGATCACCTCCAGCAGGCCCTGATCAATGTGTCCCCTGATATGATGCACTGAGAAAGACAAGATCACTTGTGAGGTATTCCTCCTAAAAATGTATAACTGGAATCTCTTCACAAGGAAACATTACAAAGACCTGAAATGAGAGACACTCTATAAAATAACTGGTCTGTACTCTTCAAATCAAGGTCACAGGGTGCCTGAGTGAGTGGCTCAGTCAGTTGAGCATCTGGCTCTTGATTTCAGCTCCAGTCATGATCTCATAGTTTGTGGGATTGAGCTCTGAGGTGGGCTCTGCATTGACAGCAAAGAGCCTGCTTGGAATTCTCTCTCTCTTTGTCCCTCCCCTTTGCACACATGCATGCTCACTCTCTCTCTCTCTCTCTCTCTCTCTCTCTCTTAAAATAAGTAAACATTTTTTAAAAAGTCAACAGGGGCACCTGGTGGCTCAGTCAGTTAAGTGTCTGACTCTTGGTTTCTGCTCAGGTCATGGTCTCATGGTTTTGTGGGTTTGAGCCCTGCATCAGGCTCTGCACTGAGAGTATGGCATCTGCTTGGAATTCTCTCTCCCTCTCCCTCTGTCCCTTCTCCAATCTCACTCTCTCTCTCTTCCAAAATAAGTAAGTAAAAACTTTTTTAAAATGTCCACATCACAAAAGATAAGGAAAGACTGAGGAACTGTTCCAGAATGAAAGAGACAAGAGACAGGATAACTAAGTAGAACATGTCATCCTGGGTTGGGTTCTAGGCAGAGAGAAGAAACATGCCTGGAAGGGCCAGGGAGAGATGATAGTATCTTATCAATGTTAATATTCTGCTTTGGATATTAACACTGTGGTTACACACTGTCTTTAGTAAATGTGGGCTGGAGTGTTTATGAATAATGGGCATAATGTCTGCATCTTAAGTCTCTATTGGTTAGAAAAATTAGGATCTATCATGCAGATACTGAAAGAGATACAGATACACAGAGAGAATGATATAGTAAATGTTATAAAATGTCAATAATTGGGGAACCTAGACAGAGTATGTTAGAGTTCTTTGTACTATTCTTTCAACTTTCCTAAAGATTTCACATTATTTCAAGATAATAATACAAATGTTTCAGGGTTTTCCCTAAGTCTGGACCTCAAATTCTCACCTGCTGTGAGATGAAATGATTCACATCTCCAACAACATTCTCTCAGTTTGAATTTTCAGAAGTCTCCCTGCCCTTCCTGGGAGCTGTGCCAACTGATGTAAAGCTCCAGGACCCAGGAGGAGGGGCTGGACCAGGGCATTCATCATAAGCCAGATGATGGGGACTTGTTGTACAATAAGGCTGGCAAATCAGAGACTCTTGGTGTCCCTGGCCATTAGGTTTTTCCAGCCCAGACAATTCACCTGACAAAGAAGGAAAAAGGATTTAACCTCACTCTAAGAAATAAATAAATATAGAGTATGAATTCGAATTACAAAAATATATTTTGTTAACAGAAAGCTTTTCTTCAGATTTCTTTTAAATAAATAGTAGGCGCCAGGTAGAGCATGATTTCGCCTACAAAAATTCAATTAATACACAAAATTTTCCAAAAAATATATGTCAGGGTACCTTCTGGGAAATCCTACAGGAGGAATACATGAAATCAGATTTAACTACCCCTGGAAGAAATATTACTCAGTTCCAAGGGGGCGACAGCCTATTTCCCACATCTTCATAACTCAGGGTCTGGTTCTTTTGATGTTTCTAGTTCTGTGGTGGACTAAGCCTACTGAACCAGGCATGAAGACAAGACTTGTAGCTGATTTAATTTGCCAAATCAGTGATCACACCAACTCTGGGCTAGAGACCTTAAACTCTTGGGACACCCCTGTAGTCATGGCAACTTGCTACAGAAGCCCATTCGGCTAAGTTTCATTTTCACCATTTATTAAATGTAAGTCAGCTGAGCTGGGACCTATGCACTATCTACTGGGATTGGTTAAGGCAATAAATCAAAGACTGTCAGAATTAGACAGGATCTTAAAGGTCATCTTGCTCCATCTGGGTACCAGTCTGTGGGTAGAGGACCCCTAATCAGCAAGACTTTTCCCAGTGTCATGAACCAAACAGTGATAAACTACTAATGGAGGGACGGTTGGCTGCTGCCTATGAGCCCAGAGGCAGGTGATGGGCGATGGATGAGAAGACATTTGAATCCACCTGGGACTTTTAAGGAATTTTTTTTATCCTCCTTTACATCCTTTAGTCAAGTGAAAACAGGGCTGGCTTCTTGCCTTCCTTCTCCCAAAGACCAGGCTAGGAGCCAGAATTTGATCACATGAAGTCATTTCTTTGTAGAGACTCTGCTCTGTTCCCTCCTGCTTCAGCAACTGGCTCAATGCATACAAGTTATATCCATTCATCAACACATCTTTTATTGAGTACTAACTAGGTTTGGGGCATGGAGCTAGGCTTTGTGTTCACAATGTACATGAAACAATCAATTAGTTCCTACTCACATGGAGTTTACAGTCTGGTGGGATGGAGACTATCAACACAGAGATAAATATATAATTACAAATTAAGAGTCATGAAGGAAAAAAGCAAGGTGCCATGAGAGATATTAACAGGTTAGGGGTTTAGGAAACCTTTCTGAGTCAATGGCATGAAATGTGAAACCTTAAGGGTAAACAGGAGTCAGTTAGACAAAAGTGGAAAGAAAGAATATCCCAAGCAGAAAGAATGAGAAAAGATTCTTAACACAGCATAGGGTTTGAGATATTTGAGGAACAAAGGACCAGTGTAGCCAGCGTCTGGTACACTGGGGGAGACTGGGATGGGATGATGCTGGAAGGAATCCAGGTTAAACATGATGCCATATGCCCTGTTGAAACATTTGGATTTTTCTAAGAGCACTGAGATGTAATCAGTGTAACCTGACTTAATTTAGTTTTTAAAAAGGCATTGCTCTATGAAATATGAAATAAAGAAGGCAAAGAGAAGAAAGGAGAGCTCAATTAAGGAGACCATTATAACTCAGACAAGAAGTGATAGTGGCTTGAACTCAGTCCATAGCAATACAGGTAGAGAGGCATGAAGGATTCAAGATACATTTTGATGCAGGGAACAGGGGAGAGAGCAGTATCAAGAATTTCACTGAAAAATTCTTTGAGCACCTGGATAGAATGGATGGAGGTGACATTTACCAAGATGGGAAAGACCAGGAAAAGGTTAAAAGGGAAGAGATTGAGAGTTCAGAATTGCACATAGTCGGTTTCTCAGATTCTTGTGAATGATCCAAGTAAATAAATCAATTTGGGGATCATCAGCAAATAAATAATATTTAAAAGCAAAGGAGTGAATGAAACACTATAGAGTAAGAGAAAAAGAAGAGGAGAAGAAGCAGAAACATGAATAGAAGAGAGGCAAAACTAAGTCCTAAGGAAATCCAACACAGAAATCTGATAGAGAAGAGCATCTGGAAAAAGGACCCCAGAAGCAATGACCAGAGAGAAAGGAAGAAAAGGAAACCAAGAGAGTTGATGTCACTGAGGTTAAGAGAAAAGAATATTTATTTTTTTTTAATTTTTTTTAATGTTTTATTTATTTCTAGGAGAGAGAGAGAGAGACAGCGCGAGCAGGGGAGGGTCAGAGAGAGAGGGAATCACAGACTGAAACAGGCTCCAGGCTCTGAGCTGGCAGACAGCACAGAGCCCGACGCGGGGCTCGAACCCACGAACCGCAAGATCATGACCTAAGCGAAAGTCAGACGCTTAACCGACTAAGCCACCCAGGCGCCCCGAAAAGAATATTTAAAAAAGATGAGTTTGGTAAACTCTCTAAGTGTTTCTGAGATGACAATCAATGTGGAAGCCATTGATGACCTTCATGATGTCAATTTTGATGAAGAAATGGAGGTAGAAACTATACTGGTGTGGGTTCAAGAATGATTGACAGAAGGTGAAAACAGCTTGTAGAGGGAAGCAGATGAACAGGGTAATAAGTGTCTGTCTTCTCACGTTGGCCTCCTGGCCAGATCAGCCACAAACTTATTCCATCTCTCCTCCCAGGTTTTCATGGCAGCCTTTTTATTAATATCCAACAAGGTGCTGAACCTGCAGAGAAAAGGCACCCAGGTCAGCCCCAGGAGAAACAGTCGGGAAATAGGTGAGGGGGTCTCAGATGCTTGCAGAGCACATTTCTCTCCAGTCCGAGAGCAATAACAAAACAGAGGCATTGTGGAGAAACCTTCCAGGCTTCTGTCCCAAACCTCTAAGAGAGATAAACACAAGTTGTGAGGTGGAAGAGGGAGTTGGGGATCTGGTAGTACATAGGACACTCACTTGATAGAGTTCATGGCCAGTTGTTTGAGTGTCCTCAGATCAGCTGACATTCCCCCAATGCCCATGAAGGCCTCATAGAAATCGTAGGACAAGCCCTTGGCACCAAACACAGCCGGGTCATCAGAGCTGATCACCATGGGGTACCCAGTGGCCATCAGAACAGCAGCAGGGTGGTTTCTCAAGTCAGACACCAGTTTCAGAACCTGCCCAACAGGAAGCAAAGGAGAAAGACAAACTTTGACCTATAAAAAGTTGTCACGAGAGGCAAGACCGTGAGCACAGTCAGCTCCTTTCTTATCCTCATCACCACTCTGAACATTGGGATGACTTCTGGGCACAACACAAGGAATAGAACCAGTCCTCATGTTCTTCCCAATTTTCTCCAGGTTTCCTCACCATCACAAACATTTGGTCTCTATCTTGGTCTGGCTCAGAGCAGCTCTCTGGAACACAGCAGGAGAGGCAGGTGCACAAAGAACCCCAAGCAGCTGTGAAAGCAGCATATCCTACGGCCCCTCCCACTTCATTGGCCTTTCTCAACGTCCCTTTAGCTTTGCTTTTGGCTTTGCCCCAAATTCCACCAGACCGCAACTCTTACTGCTGCCTCATTATTATGAATAGGTTTGGCAAAGGGCCATTCCTAAATAACTTACTAAGGGGAGAGAGATAGCAGAGGAATATAGAAAACAAGTGAGCTCAGGAACTAAAAATCACATGGGAAAGTTTGGGAATCAGAACAGAGGTTGAGGTTGGAAAGAAAGATTGCATTGGGTTTGTGCCATGGATCATGCATACCTGGTTGGAGATGGGACAGACTTCTATGGGGATGTCCTTCTTCCAGGAGTCAGCCCAGACTGCTGGGTGTTTGGTCAAAGCAAATCCATGGCCAATCCTGGTAGAGTTCAGTATTAGAGCAACCAGAAGGTTTCTATCTACGGAAGTACCCTGCCAGTCTGTGGATAAAGGGGTAGTCTCCAATCAGATGGATCTGATCCATTGACCATCCTCAGATAAAGGCTCCCGATCCCCAAGCAAGAAAAAGAATGTTCACACACACACACACACACACACAGAGTTTCATACAACAATGCTAAAGAGAGGTAAAAGAGAGGAGGTATGGCAAGCCTTTATTTTACATATGTAAGTAACAGATGAGGAAGTTGAAACTTACATAGGCTTTGTAAATTGAAGGAGCATACTCACTTAAGTAGCAAGACTGGGTTTCAAACCTTGGTCTGACTCCACAGCCTATATTCTTTCTTTCCATTTTTTATTTGTTTCCAGAGCTGTTTTCTGGGCATTTTGTTTATGATTTTCACAACAATGTGTTGCAAACCCTTTCAATATACTTTTTTTTTTAAATTTAAGTTTATTTCTTTATTTTGAGAGAGACAGAGACAGCGCAAGTGGGGGAGGGGCAGAGAGAAGGGGAGAGAGCATTCCAAACAGTCTCTGTGAGATCATGACCTGAGCCAAAACCAAGAGTCGGACGCTTAACGGACCGAGCCACCCAGGCGCCCCTATAGTTACTTATATGTACTTACTTAATTTATATCTTTAACAATATCAATTGCAAGATCACAATGACCAATACAGACAAAGTGGTGGTAGATAGCGTCGGCTGCCTACTTACCAGCCATCCCCACTACACTTTCCTTGCTAGCAGGGCTTTCTTTGGAGTTTGAAAATGACAGGCCCTGACTCTCCCAGCTTCCCTTGCAATTAGGATAGTCCTAATGTTGGCCTGGAAGGTTATTGGTGGGGAGCTCTTGGGCTTCCTCCCTGATAAAAGGAGATGCCCTGGAAGAAACATCTTGTCTTTTGTTTCATTAGATTTGTCACACCTGAATGTGACTTCACTGACTGACAACCAAGTGAGGTAAAACCCTGGACTTGAGGAGGACAGCAGAGGTTTCTTCTTATCTGAAATAATAGATGACCTTGTTGTAAAACCTGTTGAATGTGTGTACTCCATTCCTGGCCCCCAAAAGCACCCTAACTAATCCACATGTAAAAATACGAAAACTCCACTGTTCTGTTAGAAATAAAACCCAAGAATTCCCATTGCTTTTTAGAGCATGTGTTTTAGGTAGATTTTCACTGGTTTCCTATCTAGAACTTTTTTTCCCAAAGATTTCTCTCTTTAAAAAAAAATAAGAACATTACAGGCACCTGGGTGGCTCAGTCAGTTAAGCATCCAGTTCTTGATTTTTGGCTCAGGTCATGATCTCAAGGTTGGTAGGTTCTGTGCTGACAGCACAGAGCCTGCTTGGGATTCTCCCTCTCCTTCTCCTTCTCCTCCTTCCCTGCTCATGTGTACACTTTCTGCCTCTCTCTCTCTCTCTCAAAATAAATAAATAAGCTTTAAAAAATAAAAATAAGAACATTACTCTCAGATATTAAATACCCAGCTCCTGGCAAAATCCTCTACTAGGGCCATGTGTCTTGGAATTTGGTTACATCCTCTTACAGTGTTTCATACTGTTGAAATGATTTCACACAGGTAAGTATGGTTTTCCCAACTAGACCACAAGTTCTTCAAGGTTAACATCCCCTACTCCCTTGTCCCATCTCCCACAAACAATTCTTCAAATTTACTAGAACAGTTTTGATGTAAATTGGATCTAAACTGACTTGAAATATCAGGAAAAAAAGAGATTAAGGCACACATATCCTTCCTCTGAGAGATGGTGTGATAAACCAAGGTTTAAGCCTGGTTGTGAAATCCAACCCCCCCCCCCCCACCTCCTTGGTTGTCTAAGGGTGACAGGTGCCTACAGTACTCAGGGACACCAGGTGGGATGTAGCAGCAAGCTTTCTTCCTGATCTAAGCCTCTCAAATCTTCATTTTAACCTGAAATTGCAGCCATGATCTAGGATTTCTTTTGCTTAGGGCTCACATATTTTAAGGACTGGAATATGGGAAGCTCTGAGAGATGACCCATGAACCTGTGGAGTGAGCTTTGGGGAACAAAGACATGGCTGGGCTAATGGCATTTCATTAACAATAGTAGTCGAGCTGTTTGGGCTGGATGGGGTCTCTTCTTCAGCACTGATGAGTGTGGACAGAGCCTTCTAGTTGCCTGGTTGTGGTCCCTCTTCTGCCACTTAACCTTGTGTGACTTTGGACAGGTGAATTAACCTCTTAAATACAATTCACTTATTATAAAATGGAGACCATTGGAAAGGACTCAAAATCAAATTCTACTAATGACTAGCTTTTTACCCTTGGACCAAGTACTCTATGTTTGGAGTCTTGGGCTCTTCATTTTTAAAATGGGGATATAGGGTGGCTTAGTTGGTTAGGTGTCCGACTCTTGTTTTCAGCTCAGGTCATGATCTCATAGTTCGTGGGTCTGAGCCCTGCATCGGGCTCTGTGCTGACAGCGTGGAGCCTACTTGGGATTCTCTCTCTCTCCCTCTCTCTTTGTCCCTTCCCTGCTCACGTATGTTCTCTCTTTCTCAAAATAAATGAAACATTTAAAAATAGAAAATAAAATAAATAAAATACAGTTTAAAAAATAAAAAATAAATAAAATGGGGATAAAAACACTTTTCTGGCAGGACTGGGGTGAGAATTAGAAATAATATATGTAAAGTGTCAGATACTGTTATTATCATTTTATTCCTTCTCCAGGGGAAATACATATTTCTCCATATGAAATGGACAAGCGCCATAAAACAACTATCAACAATACCAGTACTGCCCCAGGATTCCATCAGTTCTCTTGAGTGATGATGAGGAGCCCTCCTATCCATCCCTCCTCTGTCCTGCTTGTCTCCACATGGCTCACCTGTCTCTCCAGCATGGAAAAAGTAAGGCAGTTTAACACCATGCAAGGTAGGAATCATCAACGCCTCCCTGTAGTCATACAAGGAGTGGCCAGTGTCCTCACGACCCACCTGCAAGACAGAGAGGAGGGGACATGGAGTTGTCTGCTTGGTCCATGCCTCACTTTGCTGATGGTACCCTCCATAGCCTGTGAATATGCGTCCTTATACGCTGCCGTTACTAGTCGAGGCCATTGTCACACAGCCTTTTAAAAATGACCAGCAGCAAAATTGGGAAAGAAAAGAAAGTGCATTTTTACCCCTATATAGTCCCCCCTCCCTTAGTCAGATGTATCTTATATCCTCCCAGCCGTTTCCACCTTGTGTTCTCACACCACTTTCCAAGTCCCTGTGCTTCAGCCCTGAGCTCCTTGTTGGGGACAGAGAGTGAAGGAGAAAGGAAGAGCAACAGAGAGAGACAGAAAAAACAAGACAGTGAGACACTGAGAGACCCGCAGAAAATGGAGAGACAGCGCAAGAGAATGAGAGCCCTAGACCAGGAGTCAGGAGGGCTCCAGACCCATTACCTGTGAGTCTCTAGCCAAGTCAGTTTCCTGGCAGGGTCCCTCTGTGAATCAGTGCCTCAGCTGTAACTACAACAAAACTATGCTTTTTGAACTAACCCCCCCACCCCCCACCCCAGGGCTTGTAGCTGTGTGACGAGCTTAGGATAAAACGAGTACCTCCTTCAGAATGTCTATTTTAATTTGTTGGGGGGGGGGCAATGACACATTTTTATAATAAGCCAAATACAGATATTCAATGTAGTAGAATGGAGTGCAGGCTTGAAAGAGAGTTGAAACTTGCAAGTAGACCCCTTTGAGCAACTGCCTACCCCCCTTCTTACCCCAATTTTCCTCTAGAACTTGTCCACTACAGTCCTTGTAGAAACTGTTCTGCATGTTCTATACTAGAGGCATTCCTTCTCAGCCCCCTTTGTCAGGGCTGCATGCAGAGGGGAAAAGGGAGAAGGGAGGACCTTCTGCCCCTTTCTGAAGAGGCCAGATCCTTGAGTGACCCCCAGGGATCCCAGGAAGACATGCCGGTACAAACAAAATGATTCCTTGAAATCCACTCCTTTGAGCTCTGGATGTTCTGAAAGCAAATGCTTAAGCCCAGTTTCAGGTAAAATGTACAGAATCTGTAAGAGGGAGTTAGGAGTGCCTTTTAGCCAGGTCGTTCAAACTAAGTTAACTTCCTTAATGAGATTGATGAGTTGTCACCTGGGAGGTGTGCCCTGGCTGTAAGAACTCAGCTATGGCTTGATTTGGGGGTTGGGGGGCAGGAGGTGGGGTCAAGGCAGTGACACCACTATGGATGTGCAGCTTCCAAAACAGCTGAGGAAGCAAATGGATGAAGGGACAGAGGACACCTTTCCCATCCTTAACAGTTTTGCCCAGGGCTTAGACCCATCTCTGCTTCCAGATCACCCTCTATGAGCTACAATTTTAAGAGGCAGACATAGGTAGGCCACATGCATTAGAAAGAGGGCAGAAGGCAGCGGAACGGGAGTAAGCCCACTGTTGGGGATCCTCATTGAGTTCCTTCCTTATTCTGGAAAGCTCCTTTTCAGCCTTCTGGCCCTGTCTGCTCTCCTTTCTCTTGTAACTATCACCCTCCCTCAGGCCCCTACACAAGGTCGGTGCTACACTCTGGCCAGGCCTGTGGTTGGCAGCCTGAGCCTCCACAGAGGGTTTCGGTGCCTGCTGCCAGGGCCTTCACAAGAGCTGCCTGCTGGGCCCTGTTCTCAGACAGCTTTGTTGTGCGGGGTCCGTTACCAGATCAAACCCTGCCACCATCTCAGGGAACAGGGTTCGAAGCTTCATGGCTGTTTGGACAGATTTCATGACGGAGGACACATTTTCAAATCTGTGGGAGAGACAGAGAGAAGCATGGGAGACAGTGTGACTTGGCATTGGTGGAGCTTCATACCCAGTACCCCGGAGTAGCCCCCCTCCCTGGTGCCTGGGGCTGGTCTAGTCCAGATTACCCAGAAATCACTTCCCAAAGCCTTGGCATGTGACCCTATCATGACCACGCTGTTGTGATCCCTTCCAGGGGCTACATCTGAGAGATATCTCACCCAAATCCAACCCTTTTGAGGAGTCTGGCTGGCTCTAGAGGAATCTATGGTGTCTACACAACAAGTGAGGAAAGGAGACCCATGGGATAGGTTTCATCTGTCCACATTTGGATGAAGCAAAGCGGCCTTGTCTGAAATTTGCCCTGCATCCCCAAGATGATGGCTACGGGAAGGGGGTGCAGTACAGAGGCCGGCTCTCTGTTCACTGGGCACCAGTGAAAGTCTACAAAATGCCAGAGCCCCTGTCGAGTCAAGTGGACCTGGCAACTATATGTCTTCTCCCTTCAGTGGGATCTGCATGGCCCTGGGGACTCCAGAAACACTGTAGGCGAACTGTCTTACTTCTGTCTGCACCGTCTCTGTTCAAGCCCAGGACAGGGGTGAGACAAGCAGTACAACAGAAGCACCGAAACAAAAGTCTGGCACAACCTGTGAGAGGACAGAGGTCTCTGGGCAGCAGCTGGCTCACCTGTTCCTCAGTTCTGTGGCCTACATTTTCCCCTCCTGACGCCTGCCCATTCCATCTCCTGAGGAGCTCTAAGGGATGCAAGGAGGATTTACCACCTGCAGCGCAGCCCTCACACCCTCCCCACCTGCCACTGGCTCCCAGGAGCCTCTGAGGGGGACCAGTGGGGCCCCAGCCCTCAAGCTCCACCCTGGCCCACTAGCACACAGGTGCAGGCCTCTGCTCTCACAAAAGGTGAAGGGGAGGGGCGCCTGGGGGGCTCAGTCGGTTAAGCGCCCGAATTCAGCTCAGGTCATGATCTCATGGTTTGTGGGTTTGAGCCCCGCGTCGGGCTCTGTGCTGACAGCCAGCTCAGAGCCTGGAGCCTATTTCAGATTCTGTGTCTCCCTCTCTCTCTGACCCTCCCCTGCTCACGCTGTCTCTCTCTCTCTCTCTCTCTCTCTCTCTCTCTCAGAAATAAATAAAACATAAAAAAAAAATAAAAAACAAAAAACAAAAAACAAAAGGTGAAGGGGATTCAAGGGGATGGGGTGGGGAGGGGTTTGACTGCTGTCCAGAGCTCAGCCTCTAGGGCTGAGCTGGCCCTCCCCAAGCCCTGACTCAGTGTGATCCCCATCTGGTTGCCGCCCCTGCATCTCCAGCCCCGCGGGTGGGTCAAAGGCCTTACACAGGCCTGCCTTTGACAGAGAGCCTTCCTTGGGTAAAACGAAGAAGGAAAACTAAGGTATAAAGCCTTCTGTGCTTGCTTGAGAAAGAGTGGGTCCTTGTTCACATTGCCAGGTCACACATCCACACACAGACTCTGAGATAGCTGTCACTCAGGGCCAGGTCACCAATCAGAGCCCAGTATACACCATGGACAGCACATGGCTGACAAGAAGCAGAGCCCCACCAGCAAACTGAAACAAAGAAATGGGCCAGTTATCCGAACACACTGGCAAAAACATACCCAGAACTGGATCGCCCAATCTAACATGAGGTCAGGGCCTAGAACTATCTGGAAAACTGCCACACTTCTTCATTTCAATCTGGTTGTGAAGATCCCAACTAGAAGTGTCTTCAGAGATAGATTTTTGCTCTCATGCAAGAATGCGCATGCTGAGGCCTTGGCTCTTTGGCATTGAGGGTGGGTCTCCTCCGAAGCCAGCCTCCCAGCCTCCCTTTCTCCTCCCCCTCCCTCAGAGTCTAGTGGCTCTGCCTGCATCCCATTCTCCCAAATCCTGCAGCTTCAGCCATGTTCTCTCTCACCTGTGAACCGAATAAATGATTTTGATTCCAATAAACCCAGGATGCTTTTTTGCAAACATATGAGCCACTTCTCTGTAAGTCTCCACTGACCACTCTTCGTTATGGATCGTCCCATTCAGTTCATAGACCTGAGAGGAAGGCATGGTCCTGATCAGACGTTGGAGGTAAGCAAAACTTCATCCCCACTGTCAATAATCTCTAAGTCTCTGCAATTTCACTGCCCCATGCCTTCAACAGCTTCTCACACTTATCAGAAGTCCTAGTCCTGTCTGGGATAATGCTTCTGAACATCACAGAGATGGGGTGTCTGCCTGTCTTATTCATTGCTGGGTCCTTGCACCTGTAACAGTGCCTGGCATATGGTAGGTGCTCAAAAGGCATTTGTGTAAAGAATGAAGAACAGGTCAGTCGGGGAGAGGACATAGCCAAAAAAAGGAGTCCAAGGATCCACTTCATCTCCCCACTTTCCCACTCTTAGGTCGGATGTCACCTCAGGTGGACATGGTCGGGGCAGAGTGAGAGGAGCCAGGAGTGGACCGTGGGTAAGACAAAGTAGGAAGATGCAATGGAGAGGGCAGGGGTATAAAGAATTGCCCCTCCAGCCCATGGTGAGAGGCTGGAGGGGGCTGGAGTGATGGGCATGGTCCCTGCCGCTCCCTCCATCCTCTCCCGTCACTGGGTCAGCTCTCGCCCCTGCACAAAGTGCAGGTTAGAATTAGGACAGGATGTGGGGGTTTCTGAAGAGGTTGTGGGGCAAAGGAGGATGGGAAAAAATACGATGTAGAAGGTATTTCCATGAACATCAGTTAAAACCCTGCAGTGTACAAGGAACCAGGCAAAGCATTGGAAGGGGTGAACAAATGTTAGTGAGACAAGATGCCTGACCTTAAGGCGTTTCCGATTTAGTGCAGACAGATCCTATTCCTTTTTTTTTTTTTTTTTTTTAAATACAAAGCAGGAAGAATTAAGTGCTTTGGGAGGCTTATGGGATCTCAGAGGAAAAAAGGGGATAACTGGATGGGATCAGAGAAGCTTTCTGGGGGAAATGGCGGTGAGGTTGGCCCTGGAAAGGCAATGGGGATTTGATACACAGGAAACTTAGAGTCCACAAGTAAGCCAATGGCTCCCTGGCGGCCCTGCTGGCAAAATCATTGCTAGTGTCCTGGGGTAGGGAAGCAGTGGTTCTACACAGAGCCAGAGCCCACGGGAGTGCAGGTGGCAGAGGCTGAGAGTCAGAGTGCGAGCCAGGAACTATCTCACTACCTAACAGAGAGGAATCCTTTCTCTTTACTGGGGTCAACTCTTGTATCCTGGCATCCCAGGAGCTGGGTGCTCTCCAGGACCCTTTTCTCTTTTCCCACCAGTCCCCTGCCTCACAGCACCCTTGCCAGCCCCTTTCTTAGCTGCACCCTGCAGGCGCCGCCTTCTGTCCCAAGGCAGTCTCCTCTTCACCCCAGACACAGAGAAGCTTTTTATGTTCTTTCATCTCTGGCCTGGGGTGGGGGGGCAGAAGGGGTTCATTCTGCTTCTTGGGATGGGGGAAGTGCAGTGAACAGACAGCTTTATCCAGCCCCTTCTCTTGGCTCTTTGGTTTTCTCTGCTGCTGCCCCAGGGAAGCCTGACCTCTCATACAATCTCCAGGCTCACCATCGGAAGGTGGTCTTCCCGGATTGTGTGGTCTAGGAGTAGACAAGCTCAGGCTTCCTGAATGTTAAGGGTGCCAGAACTTTCTAGAGGAGAGAATCTTAGGTACTGCTAGCTCAGTATCTAGTATAACCTATTATTATTATTATTATTATTATTCCTATTATTTACTGAAGGGGATCAGAACATGCCACCCTAAAATATGCTACTTTTGCATAATAATTAAAATTTTTTTAAGTGTTCATTTATTTTTGAGAGAGACAGAGACAGAGTGTGAGTGGGGGAGGGGCAGAAAGAGAGGGAGACAGAGATCCCAAAGCAAGCTCCAGGCTCTCAGCTGTCAGCACAGAGCCTGATGAGGGGCTTGAACTCAAGAACCACGAGATCATGACCTGAGATGAAATCGGATGCTTAAACTGACTGAGCCACCCAGGCGTTCCAGCATAAGCATTATTTTGAGTGGAAGGCAGTCAAGCAGCAAACATAGAGATCTTTGCTCTCCTCCTGTCTGTCTAAAAGCAGGACATAAACTGTTGGTGAGAGTGTTCCGCCTCCTATCTCCCACACCAGGAAAACAACCCTTATCATTGGAGACAGAAGGTCAGCCCTGAGATCGGTCTGCACAAATAAACCTTACTAACATAACTCTTATATTTTAGTAGTTTCCCACATATATTTACTATCCCACAATTTACTGCCCCAGAAACCCAAACATTTTGCCTTGTCATTTCTCCACAATTTATCACCACTTGTTAAAACAGTGTATAAGTACCTGTTATACCCACTTCTTTGGGTCTTCGCTTTTTTCTACGGAGGCCTCCATGCACATAAAAATTAAATATTAATATCAAATAAAATGTGTATGCCTTTTCTCCTGTTAATGTGGCTTTTACCAGTTTAACTTGCAGACCCCCAGAACAGAACCTTACAAGGGTAAAGAAAAAGTTGTTTTTGTTCTCCCCTGCTTCACCAGAGATTTTTTTATTAAATTTTTTTCATGTTTATTCATTCTTTGAGAGAGAGAGAATAAGAGTGGGGAAGAGGCAGAGAGAGAAGGGGACACAGACTCCGAAGCAGGCTCCAGACTCTAAGCTGTCAGCACAGAGCCTGATATGGGGCTCAAAGTCACAAACCACAAGATCATGACCTGAGCTGAAGTCAGATGCTCAATGGCTCAACTAACGGAGCCACCCCGGTGCCCCCTCACCAGAGATTTTTGAAAATAGAACTCTTCCTGTCACTGATCAAAGCTTCAACAGACTTCCAGGCACTCTGTTAGAATCTTCAAATCTTTGGTGCTAAAAGAACATATAGATGCTGTACCCTAGCAGTTCTCAAAGTGTGGTCAGGGAGCCTCTGTGGGTCTCTAAGACTTTTCCAGCCAGTCTGCAAAATCAAAAACTCTCCTCATAAAATTTTTAAGATTTAAATTTAAGATTTGTCTTTTACATTCTCATTCTCTCCGCAGTATATAGAATTTTCCAGAAGTTACATCATGTGTGACAACATTAGTCTGACAAATAATGGATTGTGTGCTTGTGTAGGCTTGTGTTTTGAAAAGTTCTCAGTTTTAATTTCTTTTTTTTTATTTATTTATTTCTAGGAGAGAGAGACAGCGTGAGCAGGGGAGGGTCAGAGAGAGAGGGAGACACAGACTCTGAAACAGGCTTCAGGCTCTGAGCTGGCAGTCAGCACAGAGCCCGACGCGGGGCTCGAACCCACGAACCGCGAGATCATGACCTAAGCGAAAGTCGGACGCTTAACTGACTAAGCTACCCAGGCGCCCCTCAGTTTTAATTTCTAATGAAGGCTATATTATATAGGATATGGAAGATAAAATCCACATGGACAAAAGTTTTTGGGGATCCTCCAAAATTTTTGAGTGTAAAATTTTGAGAACAATGCCATTAACCCTTCCCAGAACTGATACCTAAAGTTGTCTTGGCCTTCCCCAGCTGATTTGCAGACTTCCCTGCTGTGTCATTACTGAGTCATGTGCCCACACAGGCCATTTGGATTGTAGGCCACTGAGGGCAGGATCCAGGCCATCTGGGTCTTCCCACCTCCCCTCCTGTAGCACCAGAGTGGGAGCTCCATAAATAAGCATTAACTTAAGAAGAGCACTGTCCATTTGGAGTTTCAAAACTACTCGGCCCCAGGCAGCATGTTTTGGAGGATGGATGAATAGATGGAGATTGGAGGGGTGGTTGTGCCAGCAGAACAGAAGGGAGACAAAAGAACCTTTTAAAAACTCAACAAATGACAATTTTGTCTAAAGAAGATCCTTGGCATACTAAACAAGGATGTACAGATATGCAAATGATACAACCAGAGACTTGATGGGGGCTTGCCCGTGACAGCAGTTCCAAGCCATCAATTCTATCATTGCAGCACTTATTGCTAGAGAATCTGGGACCCCTGCCTTGCGGGGTTCCAATCCCACTGCTAGTTCCCATAGCATGGAGAGCCACGAAGATGGAATCTGGCTCCTGGGGCAGCAGATGCTGAAGCCCGGGTCTCTTGGTGCCTCAGTAAATCACCATCGGGGCCGCCTGCGCCTTGTGTTCCTGGGCTTCTGGCCTCCAGCCAAGAATCTGCAGGCTTTTTGGAAGCACCTAGGACAGGATCTGAATGCTCAAGAGCACCCCTATCTCAAGGAGCAAGAGACCCTTTGCAGGGGGAGACCTGCAATCCCTCCCGGCCTTGCAGCTAGACTGATTAGAACATTGCTGTGAAGCCTGGTATTGGAGGAAAGTTCTCAGCTGGTTAGGGGCCTCTGGGCAGGCTTCTGGGTTTAGGCTTACAGTGGAGATACAATCTGCCCCAGCCAATCATACCTCATAGGGTCATTGCAAGGATCAGATGAGTTAATATTTATAAAACATTTAGAGATGATAACTGCTGGAAAAAAGACAAGAAGAATAAAAAAGGAGGAGGGCACCTGGGTGGCTCACTCGGGTAAGCATCCAACTCTTGATTTGGGCTCAGGTCATGATCTCATGGTTCGTGGGTTGGAGCCCTGCACTGGAATCCACATTGACAACACAGATCCTGCTTGGGATTCTGTCTCTCTCAAAAGGAAGGGAGGGAGGGAAGGAAGGAAGGAAGGAAGGAAGGAAGGAAGGAAGGAAGGAAAAAGAAAGAGTAATTATAACTATTGGGTGCCTGGCTGGCTCAGTCAGAAGAGCATGTGACTCTTGATATTGGGGTCATGAGTTTGAGCCCCTCATTGGATGTAGAGATTACTTAAATAAACACATAAAAACTTTTAAAAAAGAAAATAACTATTAATGATATTATTATTACCAATCTTATTATCATCACCAGTTATAGAAAAACAACCCCAAATCTGCAGTTATCCCAGAAAGATGAGTTAATATCTAATTAACAAACTGTAAGTACAAGTAGGTGATGCCAGTCATCCCTCTAAGACTACGTGATACAAAAGTTGCTATATCCATGGAATAAGCCCTCTTGAATTGAA